ACTGCTGAAATTGGACCACATATACTCTTCACAGAAAGAATGAGAAAAAGTCAAGTAAGACACAAAATTAACTATATTTTTTTCTACAAAAACTGCGAAATAAACTACTGTTAAAATCTTACATAAAAGATAGTTTTAATAAAATCAAATGAAAAATCTCTTTATGTGTCACGAGACATAAAAATTAGCACAAAATAATTATATGTATTACAAGCTCTTCAATGCACACTAAAATCTTATAAATTTTGTTTCAACATCGTAATGAAACCTTGATTAATCAAGAATTCCTACAAAAGAATTGATAAAAGTCGTTCCGAAGGCTGTAATCAGTCAATCACTGGTAATGACAAAAACTGTGGCACTATAAAATTGATTTGTCTTTGCGACCAAAGTAAATAAGCATGTAGCTCGAGTACTACTTTTAGTAAAAAGTACATTGCTAGGCTAATGAATGCTTAAGCCATCTGATAATCAGCTGTTTCAATTTTCAATTTATTACTAAATACACTAATTACAATCTCAGTATTTGTATATTCGCACTAATTATTCTCATATCCTCTTCTCTAATTGTTTATTTCATTTACATTTTTATTGATTTAACTCAACACATTTAAATCATCTCTCATCAAAATTCCTCAGTCTTGCTTTACTGGTCCATCTGCATTTATCCTTACATGGAAAACGTCCAATCCCACACAATCCTATTCTCGAGTGCATCACATAATTTTCGATTTTTGAACTGAAGAGGAGTGTAGGTGGTGTGTCATACCATCTGTCCCTGAGGATGATGACTCGATGTCTCATCACTAAACAAACTTCCTTGTGTTTCCACCCCTGCTTTTATACTCTTGTTTACTCGCTAAATATGAGTTTCTGAAAAGAGTATATGCCGGCAAGCAAGGAAAAATATTACGAAACTTACGAACAAAATTTCCATAATTACTATGGAAATTAATTGCAATTCACGTCGATTTCAATTATGCGTAAGCAGGTGACAGAGGTGTCGCACCTTTCGAGATTTTACGCCAGTTTGTACTCGATTAAAAAGTGAGTTCGTGCTAAGTAATAGTTAATTTAGTGCCAATTACTACAATAACCTTGAAATACACTATTGTGCCAATTATTCGCTGTTTGTATATTTATTAAAACTCATTTAAAATGTTTGCGATTATTTTAAATATATAATTAGCCTAGTATCCGCTCCAATTTCGGGTATTTATTCATACTTGGTAAGCGATTTATAGGACAAACAAAATATGTACCAGTATGTACTAACAATAACTTCTAAAGATGCAATTTTGAACCATTTACATACAATTTAATAAATTTAATACATAGGAATAAGTTTAGCAATAGTCAATTTTTGGACATTAAAATAGAAATACTTTCTCTTCAGCAATTTAAAAATTCCTCATAAATGGTCCAAAATCAAATTCTAAATTTATGAGAATGATTCAATTTTTTATATTCTCTATTAACATTTCATTTGTAGTATTTGGTAAACTGCACAAGCAAAACTAATAATATGTGCCCTAAGCAGCAGTTTGCTTTGACATAAACTGCAAATAGTTCGCTATTGAATTGAAATTTTTATAAAATTAATATTGCTCACTGAAACGTCATAGCTGAAATAATTAAAATCAAAAACCCCAGTTTCTGTGCTGTCAATAGAAACTCCAAAATGTTTTTAGTAAAATTATCAAAACAAGGGTTCAATTCCACTAACATCTTTGCAACTTTCTGGTAAAAACCACACTGATTTCCTTGTAGTTTTGTACGAAGAATCTCATTGTTGTTCAAAGACAACCTCCTCCTATCAATCACAAATCAACTTTTCAATAAGCTCGGCGTTTATTGAAACTTCACAGTCGTCGTGGGCGCCAAACACGTGTAATTTCCGATTGTTTCATGTCGATCGTATCTGTTCCTTATTGAAAATGTCATTTGGAAAATACGAGCTTCCAGTTTGCTCGTAATCCGGTAGGATGTTTTGTTTATGGACCGAGTTATTAATTGTAATTTTTAAAGGCACGCCAAATGATTTATTGTTATGGGAGTGTTGCACAAATAACAAACCTGAACTTGAAGTATATTACGCAAAAGAGCCGAACAAAAAGGTAAAAGAAGTAAACTTGTCTGGACCAAATTGGGAGTTTAAAATCGATGGTGAATTATCACGGAGAGTTGTAAATTTTTCATTTTGGCGCTTATTAATTGATGGTAATTAATTGAAATGTTGTGTTATAATGATGGTTTGTATCGAGTGTTTTACATACTTTGCGCTAAATATGATTTAGAATGTTCTTGGTGTAAGGGCCTGTGGTGGCAATTACGGCGACTTAATTGTCCATTTCGCATAATGGAGTGCCTTTACTTACTTTAATGACACATTACACATAATCGATAAACTACTTTTTCTATCGACCACAACTTTATTCAAATTCCGATTCTTTCCCGGTGTTACCTTTAAGTTGTTTCTCATTATACATACGTTAAACATTCCCGCCTCGCAGGGCCGTAACCAGGATTTTATTTCGGGGGGGGTTTCTTGTTGGTCCATGAAAATGAAATTAAAGAAGACGAATTAAAAAGCAAAAATCTCTAAGTACACGTTTTTATTTTAAATTGAAATAAGAGATCCTAATTAAACATAAAAAAATACAAATTAACTCACAAAAGTAACAAAAAATAAAATAAATTTTTAATACTTTTTATTGTTACAAATTTAAACAGGAGATGAATATTCATTTTTAAAACAAAATTTTTCTATGAACATATATCGAAAAATGCTACGCAAGAGGTGCGTCTTTTAATGTTTTTTTTTTTCAATATTTCCGAAATCATTTTAGAAAAAAAAATCAAAATTTGCTACAGATGATAACTTTTATACACCTAAACAAGTACAAAAATAAAATGTTGAAATTTTTAATTAGGTGCTTCCTAAACTAGATGGGATTAGGGTAAAAATTTACTCTAACTATTTTGCCTGTGGTTTCTTGCCACTTTCAGCAACAAAATTTCATAGTTTTTCATAAAAAAAGTCTTTTGTGATTTTCCGATACAATTTACGGATTTTTAGTAAAAATCGGTTCAAAAATTTATGTTACAGACCATAAACAGCATAAAAATTAAAAATTAAATTTGTTTTACCGTTTAGGACGCCCCTGATTAAAAATTTTGTTATTTGGCATTTGTTTGGGTGTACATA